CGTAGTTGAACTTTTTGGCGAAGGCGCATAGCCTGAGTCCCGGTTCAACCGTAGTTGAACTTTTTGGCGAAGGCGCATAGCCTGTCTTGGTTCAACCGTAGTTGAACTTTTTGGTGAAGGCGCATAGCCTGAGTCATGGTTCAACCGTAGTTGAACTTTTTGGTGAAGGCGCATAGCCTGTCTTGGTTCAACCGTAGTTGAACTTTTTGGCGAAGGCGCATAGCCTGTCTTGGTTCAACCGTAGATGAACTTTTTGGTGAAGGCGCATAGCCTGTCTTGGTTCAACCATAGTTGAACTTTTTGGTGAAGGCGCATAGCCTGAGTCCCGGTTCAACCGTAGTTGAACTTTTTGGCGAAGGCGCATAGCCTGTCTTGGTTCAACCGTAGTTGAACTTTTTGGTGAAGGCGCATAGCCTGTCTTGGTTCAACCATAGTTGAACTTTTTGGTGAAGGCGCATAGCCTGTCTTGGTTCAACCGTAGTTGAACTTTTTGGCGAAGGCGCATAGCCTGTCTTGGTTCAACTGTAGTTGAACTTTTTGGTGAAGGCGCATAGCCTGTCTTGGTTCAACCGTAGTCGAACTTTTTTGGTGAAGGCGAATAGCCTGAGTCCCGGTTCAACCATTATTGAACTTTGTCGATCTTTGATGACGAAGGCTCATGGCCTGAGTCCCAGTTCAACTGTTGTTGAACTTTGTCGATCTTGATGACGAAGGCTCATGGCCTGAGTCCCATATTGTGGGTATTGAGTGCTGAAGCTCGGTTTGGATTCGAGACCTTGAGCGGCTCATCCGTTGTCTTCCCAACCAGGGTTTATAGGCTGTCTTGAGGCGATTCTCGATTCGAGATTCCTCCGTGCTTGTTTCCGGCTGGAGCCCTTATCAGGGATGTAGGAGATTTCTTACGAAGATTCTCCCCAAAAGAGAGGGGGGGATGTCTTCTTCTTCTTGTTTGCACCATCCGAAAGATGAGAGACAGAGGAACTGGATCTCGATTTGAGATCTTCGAGTTCCATCGGTCTGATATGCCGCTTTGGCTTGTTTATGTGGGGCTGCTTCTTCTTTTTCCGGCGTTTCTTTCCTTTTGGTCCATGGATGAACTACGCGATTTTGCTATGAAATCCCCACAGACGGTGCCAAATTGTTTGCTCAAAAGTTATCACATATCTTATGAGTATAAAACAATATAAATAAATCACGGGAAAATCAAAGCAAATCGTAATAATCCATGGACCAAGCGAAAAACAGGAAAACAAGTACTCAAAGTTAGGGGGAGAAACATTAAAAGTCTTTATTGATAATATTGGTTTGGTCTGCCTCTCCTTAAAGAGGTTCAGAGCCTTACAATGGTGTTTTCTCTTCCCATAAGATGAGTATATTTTTCTCTTCTCTCTCTCTTTTTTGGATAGTGGTGAAGAAGCAGCCCCCTTTCTAGGGCTTCCACTCTTAGTATTTATAGATGTGAGCTTCGTGAGCTGGCAATAAATGGCCGTGGCCACGCTGAGGTTCCGTCCCCATTGGGGAATGAATGGGCCGTGCCCTCGTAGATTAAATCAGACAAGAGTCGAATCCTATTATGAATTAGTGGCCATACCACTTATTAATTATGGATTAGCTCAAGGCGAGATTAACTCCGTTAATTACCGTGAGATCGGATTTTGACCCATATAATATGAATGCACGTTTTCATTTTGCGAAGGATGGGGTGAAATATTGTATTATTATCTTTCTCGACTAGCTTGAGTTTTAAATACGGTAAAGGGCCAAATATACTCCTCTACTTTCAAATATTGTTTACCTGTACCCTTCGTTATACTATTGGGCTATCCATACCCCTACCGTCATACTTTGGAACAAAATTACCCCTATTTTGGATGGAGTGCCACGTGGTAGCACCAGATTAAAATGACCCATTTTTTTTTACCCAACCCGTTTTACAAAAAACCCACAACCCGAACCATATTTTTATTTTTCAATTTTTTTAAAGAATTTTCTTTTTGTAAACTTTAAAAAAAATTGTAAAATATTTTCGTTTTTTTAAACTGAGTAGATACTGAAAAGATTTTGCAAAAAAAATTGTAAAAACTAAAAAAAATCGTTTTTCTAACAAAATATTTTTTTTTTGTAAAAACTGTAAAAACATATTTGTAAAAACTGAAAAAAATTGTAAAAACTTATTTTTTTTCCAGTTTTTAACAAAATATTTTCGTTTTTTAAAAACTGAAAAATATGTTTAAAACAAAATATTTTCGTTTTTGAAAAAATGTTTTTTTTTTACAGTTTTTTCAGTTTTTTTAAAGTATTTTACTTTT